ATCAAGTTGACACAAATTTTGAATAAACCTATATAACGGGTGCACAAAATTACATCCACAACTAGAAGATAAAAAATAAGAAATAAAGATCGAAATTTAACATTAACTCAATCAATAACTAATGAAGAGGCATACACTTTTCTATTCTAAATTTTGAAAGAATCTATGAAATAATAAATACAAAGAACACCACATATCACATTCTGGGGATGTATGTATGTATGTATATGACTTGGTGATTTAACAACTTAATCAAACAACATCCAAAACCAACATAACAGTTAGTTATAATGGAATGACAACTCCAGGACACAATAAACCAAAGAGGGGTTCCGCTGTAAAAACAAATTGGCTATATTGGAAAAACCCATTATACTAATTACTAAGTGCAGTATTTGGGGTTTTAATCATATTATTGGGTTCTCAGTTTCTCACTGATTTCCAAATGCTCAGCATATTGTTGACCTAAGTATTTCTCCAGTATCTTGGCATAGCTTTTTTCGTGTACGAAGACATACACGGCTAATAATCTGTTAAGATGCATTTGATTAATAAATACTAGAACTATTTCCTGAAGGCCCCTGAAAAATAGGGATAAATTAGTAGAATAAAAAACTTTTTACCCCTCTTGTCCCCTATGAAATCCCTTAACCAAACAAGCCAGGAGGGAAAAAGCATCTCAGAAGTATAAAATCTCCCAAATCTGAAGCAACAAGAACAAAGCTCTATTTTCAATCAACTGTGGGTGAAAAGGTGTTTACCAGTACAAGGAATCACATTTGACCACTACACCCCCAAATGCAGATAACACAAAACCATGGATCAAATTAATACATACAGAAGTTATTATTTACAAAGCCCTGATAACTGTATTTATAAATTCATTTTATACTAAAGGAAATAACAAATGGAAACATAAATAAACAAAAAACAACAATATTAAAATTCAATAATTGAAAAGTGATCAACAGAAATCAACAAAAAAACACAGTGAAACAAAAAGTAATGATTTAACAAGCAATTTCTGCTTTCTATTTTTTAAATCAGCTTGTAGAACTTAACATGTAAACAATGGAGAAGTAGAGATCCATTGATAAATCTTAACACCTAGGCACCGATTTCCATAATAACAGTCCATTACCAACTATGCAGACCATCCAAATCTATTATATTGATCAGATCTTAGCACCTTACTGAGTTACAGGGAGTTAAGGATCGGACACTATGCAGACCATCCAAATCTTAGTCTCAGAGAGTTAAGTCATCATATCATATTATTATTTAGTTATCACATTGTAAAATTGTTTATCAAAAAATCTACATATGAGACATGAATGTATCTATGTAGGACAATAATAACACATCAGGACATAACATAACTCTTAATTTAAAACACATACCTCTTCACAACCCCTCACCCCCTATATTAGCTTATCATAACCCCTTCTGTTACAACATTCTCATTCGGAAATTCTGCAGAAACATAGATGTAGTTAAACCTATAACACTATCAAATAGTGATTCCATTAAAGCTTTATCTGCAACAAGAGGCTGTATGATCAGGAAGGAGAGTTTTGTTTAGGATTAATAATTTTGCTCTAAGCAAAATTAAGGACAAAATCAATCAAAATGATAGTGTAAAGCATAATGAAAGCTCAGTGGAAAGAAATCCACAATGTCCTTATGCCAAACAAGCCTGGAGAGTTTGAAATGAGCAGTAGGTCCATCCGTAAAACCAAATATGAGCAGAGCATCTAGTATCTAGCAATTAATGTGTACAAAAATTATGGATGTGAAATCCCTGATTTTGGCATATTCAATCATCTTTTTAGGTAGTACAAGCAGTAAAATTGTGCATTAGAAATAACAGAGAGCAAATTGGATATGAAGGAAGGCCCCCTTATGGATTTCAATCGGGATGTCATTATCAGTACCTTAGCAATTACTCCGTAGATCTTTTAGAAACACTCTGCTGAATTTATTCCACATTGTTGTTCGTAAAGAGCTCTTCGTCGTCGGATTTGCACAGTGTCTCGTCGGCCTCCCTAGTGTTCTCTATCGTGCGCGGTATCTCCCTTTCCGGAGACTCTTCGCCGAGCTCAAGAGCCATTTTTACAGCAGCATCGCGAGCTTTGGCCTTCTTGTGTTTCTCTACATTCTTCTCGCGCTTTAGCTTGGCGTGAATAGCCGATCTCTTATCCTTGTTCACATATGGAGGAAGAGAGTTGAATCGTTGCTTCTCTCCCTAGGGTGAAGAGAAACGGTTGTCGTGATTTTACTTTCCGTCTCTCTGGTGATACAGGGAGGAGGTGGACAGATGTCCAGAAGTGAAATAAAAAAAACATAATTGAAAATAGAAAAGTTCAAAATGAAAAGAAAAAACAGTAGGGCTATAAATGATATGTGACGCACAAAAGTGGACCGTATGGGTAATTTCCACTTAAATTTTAAAAACCAATTCGTAATATAACAAAATAAAGATGGTTTATAAAAATTTGACTAATTACTAGAGTAGCAATGAAATTATAGTAATTCATGTTCGATTTTAAACTTAAGTTACCACAACACTACTTTGTAATAATGAAATATCATATTTATGTAAATAAGTTTTATTTTAGTAATATTCTTGTAAAAAACTTATGAGAGAATTCCCCAAATAGGAGTAAAAGATAGGCAAAATGCAAAAATAGGAGTACCATGTTTTGAATAGGAGTAACTTTAGTGTTTAGACAAGTATATCTCTACCCAAGTCCCAACAACTTTCATTAATAATTAAAATATAAAAGTAATAACATTAATTTATAATAAAATTGTAAAAAAATGAAAAAAGACAAAAATATATCAAATAAAACATACTTCATGTTAAATAAAATTAATAAGAATAAAAACTATTAAAATAAAAAATATTAAATAAAAAACTAAAATATTAAAATTAAAATAAAAACTAAAAAAAAACATGTAGGCATCTGCCGCTGCCTCAACAACCTCCCAGCACCACCATCTCCGATCACCGAAAAAAATGCCAACATTTTTTCGAAATGCCATCATGATGACAGATTTTGAGAAAATTTGGCATTTTCAAAGAGCAAAACTGTCAACTTTATGGCATTTCCAAAGAAAAGTGGAAGTTTTAACATAAGATGACATTTTTTCCGCCGATCGGAGGTGACATTGCTGGGTGATGGCCGAGGTTACGGCAAAGGCCTGCATAATTTTTTTATATTTTTTAATGTGGTTTATCTATTTTTTTATTTATTTTCAAAAACTTTTATTTTTTAAAAAATTTTTTTTTTAAATTTTTAATATTTCAATATATTTTTTCAAATATTTTTTTTATATATTTTATTAGGATCAAATAAGTCATATTTTAGAATTAACTAGGTTAGGGGTATTAAGGGTACAAAATTAATGTTTACTCCTATTGAAGGAAGTTTTAAGTTTCACTCCTATTTGTGCAATTATGTTTATGTTTTTACTCCTATATTGGGCAATTTCTCAAAACTTATTGAATACCGGAAACACAAGTTGACTTTGTTTTTATTCTTTCTCGATTTTTAAGATCATCTTGTTGACTGGTGATCCCCAATTCTTTTTTAAAAAACACAAGACTTAAGTGGGTGTCCAAGTGAATAAGACATTATTATATATCTGAAGAATTTCCACTGTCTGTTCAAAGTAGACGCACTATAATGTTTTTGAACTTTCTTGGTAGCTTCGAATCCTTCTATAGCTGCACAATTGGATTGACCCAATCATTTTTTTCCCAGCAAAATATAAATATATATACATATATATATATATAGAGAGAGAGAGAGAGGGCAGTTCACATCAGGAGTTCCTGATGAGAAGCCTTGTGCGGACAAGACCATCAGAGGGTCTTCCCGGTGGAATTTTTTGATGAAATTTTTTGAGCATGTTCTTCATCAAGTCTAGTTTGTCCATACCAAATTTCAGCTCAAAATTTGATCGGGAAGGCAGTCAAATAAATCTTGGAAAACTATGGCTCATTCTGCGCACATATAAAGTGCAGTATGTTTCCAGGATTTATTTGACTGCCTTCCCGATCGAATTCTGAGCTGAAATTTGGTATGGACAAATTAGACTTGATGAGGAACATGCTCAAAAAATTTCATCAAAAAATTCCACCGGGAAAACCCTCTGATGGGCTTGTCCGCACGGGGCTTCTCTTCAGGAGCTCCTGATAGGAACGGGACTCTCTCTCTCTCTCTCTCTCTCTCTCTCTCTCTCTATATATATATATATATATATATATATATATATATGGGCAAATGCCGGGGAACATTTGCCATTATTTTATTAAAAAAGAGATGAATACAAAAGGAGAGGGGGACCGAACCAAAACCTCCCTAAATTAGAAAATATATCTAAACGAAGGAAAACCAAACAGGTCACAGTAATAGGCCCTCTGGGCTGAATCTGGCAGATCCGAAACCTGGGAAAATACAAGCTGATGATTCATAGAATGGGCCGCCAAGAAATGGGCTACCCAGTTGCACTCCCTGACTCCAAATGAAAATCGAACCTCTTTCCTCCTAGCACGCAGCAGACTCTCCTGAAAACCCACCTTCCATCTAGCCGCACCTCCATCTTCAAGATATCTCCACGCCACAGCAGAGTCCATTTCAACCAAGAAATCTGAATAGCCTTTTGATATCGCAAAGTCCGTATCATACAACGCCGCTGATATCTCAGCAGAAGAATCTGTGTTTTTTGGATCAGCCCAGCTCATGGTTGGGGCATTATCCTCAAGCTTAAATTTTGCGTCAGACATTCTCAGTCGTGAATATTCAGCACATGCATTATTATAGTACTCAATGAAAGCAAAACCACGATTTCGACTTGAGTTCTGCGGATCCTGCAGCAAGACTTAAAATTATACATGATTGAAAATGATTTGGACTTCATATGAAAGTGTATACCAAACTATTCACGCATGGACATGCATGGAAATTTTTTAATGATAGGAAGTGCAGACAAACCTTCACCATTTCCACATTAATAACACCAGGCCCGGTCTTGTTGGCAACCCTTTTAAGATCTTCCACCACCCAATGTCTAGGAATATTACCAATGAAAAGACAGATTTTTTGCTTGAGCTGCAGAGCACTTTACCTTTCTTCCCTAATAAACAGTTAAAAAATATATGATGTGAGAAATGACTAATAAGAACGCTTGAATGCTGTGCAGCAAGGGGTTTTTTGTTAGCAAGATACATACTCTTAATGTTTGAAAAATGAATAATGGCAATATAAAAATATACAAGTTCCAACAGAGAAAGAAACAGTTGACAACAAATACTCTGCAACTTACATTATAAATTATAGATAAAACATGCTTAGATACGTGGAAGAAAAAGAAGAATTCACTCACCTTGAATTCAGTATTATTTAGCTCCTCAATTGCCTTGGAGGCCAATTCTTTTTCCCTGAAAGTGACAAAAGCATATCCTTTGTTCTGATTAGGTTCCTTTCCCTTCATTATCCTAACCTGTAACCCATAAGCAACAACCATGTAAATTTAGAAATTAAACATATCACACGTAGTGCATTGGAAAAGAAGTTACCTCCACAACTTCCCCAATGGAGTCAAACAATTGCCTCACATCAGCTTCAGATACATCTTGACTAATACCACCTAAGTATACTTCTGACCCATGAGGTGGAAGTGCAAGAAGCTCAGCATGCTTTTTATCATTACTATTTTCTTCTACTTCAAGATCAGCATCCAGTCCCACATCGTCTGTATGCTTTAGTCTACCAGAATCCTCTTCCTCCTCTTCTTCTTCCTCCTCCTCTTCTTCCTCATCTTCTTCTACCTCTTCTTCCACCTCTTCTTCCACTTCTTCATATTCAACCTCTTCCTCTACGTCTTCGTTGTCTCCATCAAAGTCAATTTGCTCTTCAGCCTCAATTATCTTTTCAGGTTCCCTTAAAACAGAAGAGGCAGCACCAGCTCTCGTCCTCGGCATCTAATATATCTAGAAAGATAAGTTTGTGCAGCAACTCTGACGGAAGCACAGAAGCCAGAAGATTTTGGAATAAAATGAAGAAAAATGTGGAAAGGTGGGAATAAAAATAAAAACCAAGTGGATTTCCAAAGGGGGGTCTCGAGTGAATTTGCTCCATGAGGTATGAATGAAGTTTCAATGTGATGAGCTCAATTACATAAAGGGTTAGCAAATACTACAAAGATACAAACAAAGACAATTAAGAGAGAATGCTGAATGAATGAATTTATCAGAGGGTGACATCTCTCAGCAGGTGCATAAATGAAGCAATGAATTTCTGAAATGTAGATATTGATGGCTGGAAGGTCAATATTACAGCTAGGATCAATGTATTCACAAACAAATAGTAACGGAAAGGAGAAAAGAGAAGAAGAAAAACAGCAATGATGTGAAACAGAGCTACAGGTGATATGATTTTGGAAGGAATGTTAGTTAGCAACAAATCCAGGCATCCAAATGAAAATTATAGAATATATGTGGACATCAACAGAATGCTCATTGGGATTTGGTCAAATCTAATGCCCAAACCTGTATATGATACCTCCCTGCAGTAAATTAATGCACATTCTGTGAATGTACTGGTACAAGAGTAGCATCAAATGCATTTGAATGCATATTCTCAATCAGATCACTCCGTAAGAAAAATCTAATGCCGCAATGAGTGAATGAATTCACATTTTCCCTACATGAATTATGTCAATTGACAAAGTTCACTACTTCAATGTAAACTAGATATCGTAGAGATTGTAGTAGAGTACAGAGTTAAGTTTCTTAAACCAAAAAACATACCAAGCAACTTTGCTTAGCATTGCAGAACTTAAAGCAAATTGTCTCTTTTCTTAAATACTACATGGAAGTAAAAACATCAATGTTTGCAGTTTCATAACCACATTTTAAGGAAGCTACCAAGGATTGCACCTTGAGGATCCCTCAGAGGTAAAGGTATAGAGAATATCATCTAGGAAAAGCTTACAAACTTGTTTGGTACAGTGACTTATAACGCTAGTATTAGACTATGATTAAAAAGGGACCAGACCAGCCAGGTTGAACAGAAACTGGTGACCCGGTCTGAATACTGGGTCACTCAATGAAAAACCCAGTAGGCCAGTATGGGCAAAAAGTCAAGAACTGAAAAACCTTGACGACTTGGAATACCCCAGTCAATCTCATACATGGTGTAAAAAGGCTCTTACGGGGCGCGCTTTGAGGCATGCCAAAAGGTGAGACGTACAGAGGAGGTAACAGGCTTGGATTTTTTTCCAGAGGTCAAGAGGCTTACACCTGAAAAGTTGAGGCAAGCGGCTTTAAGCCATTTTGTGAGACACAATTGCCTTTGTTTTTATCTTTTTAATGGGTTGTAACTTAAGAAAGGCCCAGTGTATTTATATAATAAAAGCCCCATATGTTAAACATGTTTTCATAGTCCACACTAAACCCCTAACAAGTCTTAGTAACAGTTATGTACGTTATGAACGTGGTTTATTAATCTGCAATGAGTTCTCACATAAAATGCGGAAGAAGATGAGCTAGCTGGGTGAAGAAAATGGTTGTTGGTTGGAAAAAAATTGAAAACCAAAATTCATAAATAGATATAGAGGAGACTGGAGACCCAAAAGACGGTCGACAGAGGATTACAGAGAGAGATTCAAGATATAAAAGTAAAGAGAAAAAATCTAATCCCTATAGAACATTATTAGATGGAGCCTGGGACGAAGGAACAAAATCTAGAACTTACCCTTAACCCTTGTCATCGCACTGCTGTCACCAAGACAGGGAGGAACCCTGCTCAGTGGTCACAATGTAAGCAATAGATAATTACTATTCTTTATTGTGATGTCATTACCGGCTGCAACAAACATACGATGGGAGAGTGCGAAATAGGATTTTCACATTGTGAGGTAATTGTACAAACTTTTCCATGTTGGTTGATAATACTTAAATATAAGAATTGCTATTTTTAGGAAGTAAATATTAGCACATTTACATTTCAAAACTAAGTGTCTATGTGTACTGCAAAATTTAAAACTGATTCCTAAGACACTTAAGGCATCTCAGATTCATTCGTTCATCCTATTTTTAACAACTGTTAAGCGTTCTTTCAAAAAAAACTGTTAAGCGTATAACAAAACTAACTTTTCAAAATACCACATGTGTTTTAGGATTTGGTTATTTTGATAAATATTGGCGAACATTTTCATGTAAAGAAAGCTCATTGTATACCATCTACAATCATCCAAGTCTAATGGATGAAGTACAGAATACTAGGAAAGGGATTGTCCACCAATGATGAAGCTTATGGGTCACATACAACAACTAGATAAGGAAGGAGCAATCTACATATGTTATTCTTTTAGCATTTTTTTTCACTAATTACGGAGTATAAGATAAAGAGGATAATATTTTGTGCCTTCCCTGTCTAGTTGTAAATAGGATACGCCAACGCAAGTAGATATGGAAATTTTCGCTTGAGAAACAAACAACTGAAAGATTATTAAACAAAAAACTATGAAATTATATTTCCCAAGCCAGCATATTTTCAAGGATAGATGAAGCATTCGACTGGCATAATATTGGTGAAACGTTGTAATTAGTATTATATTAGAGAGATTGTATTAGAATACTTGGTTAAACAAAACAAAATTTTAGATAACGTTAATGTACCTACAATAAAAGACTGAAAGTATTCACTTCCCAAAATCATCTTAGGGGGTGTTTGGAACTGATTCTGCTTCTATTTTTAAGTGAGAATCAGAATCAGAATTTTCTGCTGTATGAAAAAGTGATTCTGTCTGAAGTGTTTGGTATTGATTCTGCTCTATGTAATCGAGAATCAGTTTTGAGTGTCTGGATAAGCTACTTTTCCAAACTGATTTTTGTGTAAATTTACCAAAAGGACACTATTGCTGCTGTGAAAATTCCATACACTTATGGAATTGAATGTCGTTCCCAGTTTTGCTAGGCTCAAGTGAAAATCATATGCTTATTAGTTATTACTAAACCAAAGAAATTATTTGCAAAAAAAAAAAAGATGACTAGTGCTGCTAGTGGCATGAGAGATTCTGGTGACTTACTGATAGGGATTTGCGATACTAACCTTAGATAAAATGGAAACTGTTGATATAGAACTCCCCAACATCCAACTCGGGCTCAACCCCAAAGAGTCTCATCAGTTCAGTTAGATTGTTCAGGGACAGATATATCTCCTCCTTCTCTGGGTGCCTACCATCTTTAACCATAAAAACATGGACCAGATTCTGTATCTCAATCCAACTGCAACCAGGCTGCTTAATAACACCACGCTGTCTCATGAGTTTACGCACTCTTGTAACATCTTTCCAGTGACCTAACTCAGCATAGATGTTTGATAAAAGGACATAAGGGCCTGAACTTTCAGGGTCTAAGTCCAAAAGCTTCTTAGCTACATACATACCCAACTCCATTTCACTGTGGGTTTTACAAGAAGAGAGCAAAGATCCCCATAAAACACCGTCAGGAGGCATTGGCATTGATTTCACCAAACTCCTTGCTTCGTCTAAGCAACCAGCCCTACCAAGTAAATCAACCATACATGTATAGTGGTCTTTCAAAGGTTCCAAATCATACTCTCCCATGGAATAAAAATAACGGCGACCCTCGTCAACTAGCCCGGCATGGCTGCACGCACAAAGAACTCCGATCAAGGTCACATGATCTGGCTTCTCTCCAGATATCAACATATCATTGAAGATCTCAAGTGCTTCATTTGCTTTCCCATTTTGTGCAAACCCTACGATCATCGAATTCCATGTAACCCGATCTCTATCAGTCATGTTTTTGAAAACCCGTTGACCTTCTTCAACCGATCCACACTTCATATACATGTCTATCAGAGCATTCCCCACAAAAACATCTGGTTCGGGTCCATTCTGGAAAGAAAACCCATGTTTCAAAACATGCGCATGAGATTGCCTACCAAGCCTGAGATCTGATAGATTTGAACAAGCATTTAGGAGGTTCCCAAAGGTATAATGAGTTGGCCAAACACACTCCCGTTTTAACAAAAGAAAGAGATTTAACGCCTCCTCATTTTCCCCATTTTGGGTGTATCCAGCAATAAGTGCATTCCAGGACACCACATTCTTTTCCATCATCCCACTAAACATTGCTCTAGCCGCTTTCACACACTCAGACCTTGCATAACCACTAACCATAGAGGTATGAGACACCACACTCCTTACAGGCATCTTATCAAAGATTTTTCTCGCCTCATTGATCTTGCCACACTTTGCATAGAAATCAACCAAAGCATTGGTTATGATGAGATCATCTCTGAACTTATGAAACTTCATCACTCGGCCATGGATTTCACGACCTTCTCTAAGTAAGGCCAAGCTTGCACAAGCACTTACAGAACTTGCTAAGGTCATCTCATCGGGCTCAAACCCATGGTGCATCATCATGACAAAAATGTCTAGTGCCCTACTAGTGGGCCCATTTTGCTCGTAACATGTGATCAAACAATTCCATGAGACCACATTGGGACCCCATATATCATCAAAAACCTTTTGAGCACACCCCACATTCCCACATTTTGAGTACATATCAATGAGTGCGGACCCCATATACACATCAAAGGAAAATTTTGACTTTACGATAGAAGCATGGATTTGCGTACCCGCTGTCAAGTCCCTAAGTCCAGCACAAGCACTAAGTGCACTACCGTAAGAGTACTTGTTTAGCAGAAAGTCCTCATTGTGCATTCTTGCAAAATATTCCACAGATAAATCAAACATTTCACACTGGGCAAAGCTCGAAACCATCAAGTTCCACGAACACTGATCACGATCCACCATCAATGAAAAAAGCTCCTCTGCCTCATCAACACGTTTAAATGTCGTCAAGGCATTGATCATGGAGTTCCAAGTAAAAGTGTTCTTATTGGGCATTTTATCAAACACCTGGCAGGCTTCCTGTAATAGGAAACATTTGCCATAAGCATCAATGAGTCGGTTGTTGATGAAGACCTCGTGGATGAAATTACTCTTCAGGACCCTCTCATGCACTGAACGCGCTGCCAATGGTGACCTTGTGCTGATGCAATAATCTAAGAGCTTCGCTAGGAGCGTCGAGTTTGGGTGGATAATGGCACTACTAGCGATATGTTTGAGTGACAAAGCATTGTTTTTTGCCATTTGATGTGGAATTGATGGAGCATTTTTGGTTTAGAACATTGAAGGTTGTAGAAAGGACGAAGACAAGTATCATAGTCTCACCACGCATCACCTTCAATTACAAATAGAAATAGAACATAAATAATGATAATAGTAGGGGACTGATAATTTGTGTTAAAATACATGTTACTAATCATAATAGTAAAAATAAAAGTATTCATTAATAAAATACATTTCATTTAAAAAAGAGACATTCTTCGAGCATATTTATATCCTTCGAGCATATTTAGATGAAAGTCATACTCCCTTCGTCCCCCAATTAAGTTCATGGTTTGATTTTCACACATATTAAGAAAATAAAGTTGACTTTACCGTGGAGTGCAATGTTTTGCCCTGTTTAAACACTGTTTGACACTTTTTGGACACTATTTGGCACTGTTTTGATGTAGATTTTGCCAAATAAGGAAAGTATTGAAGCGTGAACTTAATTTAGGGACTGCCAAAAAAGGAAAGTGAGAAGGGGACGGAGGGAGTATTAAACTTTCAATGTCAATCTCTTGGAGTTTTTCAAACTCTATTGACATCAACATTAAAAGTAATACTCCGCACTATATAAATTTATAATCATAATTCATAACCCCAAAAACCAAATAACATACTTTAACCAAATTCCTAATTGTGAAATGCAAATATTAATTGAATTACTAAAAACTGCATTGATAAACAAGTAACAACAACCTGATTTCAGTAATTTGTAATTAAAAAGCAGAAAAGTCAGAAAAGTTACCGAGGCATTCAGTCTTCACTCTTCAGCGACTTAGGCAGGAGGCAGACAGGCACAGAGGCACTCGGCGAGGCAGCCGGCGGCGATTCCGGTCTACAGACTCCAGCAAGGCAGCGACTCAGCAAGCCGTGCGACGTTGAAAGTGTCAGTGTGCGACGGTGCGATGCAGCGAGCGCAGAGGCGTCAGGCGTAGACCCCGTGCTCTCAGAGGCGTGGCGCGGTGACGTCTTGTCGCGGTGGCGCGGTGGCGCGGTGGCGCGGTGGCACCGGTCGACTCGGTCTGTACCTTTTTTTGCTCGAACTCCTTGAACGTGGTTTATTAATCTGCAATGAGTTCTCACATAAAATGCGGAAGAAGATGAGCTAGCTGGGTGAAGAAAATGGTTGTTGGTTGGAAAAAAATTGAAAACCAAAATTCATAAATAGATATAGAGGAGACTGGAGACCCAAAAGACGGTCGACAGAGGATTACAGAGAGAGATTCAAGATATAAAAGTAAAGAGAAAAAATCTAATCCCTATAGAACATTATTAGATGGAGCCTGGGATGAAGGAACAAAATCTAGAACTTACCCTTGTCATCGCACTGCTGTCACCAAGACAGGGAGGAACCCTGCTCAGTGGTCACAATGTAAGCAATAGATAATTACTATTCTTTATTGTGATGTCATTACCGGCTGCAACAAACATACGATGGGAGAGTGCGAAATAGGATTTTCACATTGTGAGGTAATTGTACAAACTTTTTCCATGTTGGTTGATAATACTTAAATATAAGAATTGCTATTTTTAGGAAGTAAATATTAGCACATTTACATTTCAAAACTAAGTGTCTATGTGTACTGCAAAATTTAAAACTGATTCATAAGACACTTAAGGCATCTCAGATTCATTCGTTCATCCTATTTTTAACAACTGTTAAGCGTTCTTTCAAAAAAAACTGTTAAGCGTATAACAAAACTAACTTTTCAAAATACCACATGTGTTTTAGGATTTGGTTATTTTGATAAATATTGGCGAACATTTTCATGTAAAGAAAGCTCATTGTATACCATCTACAATCATCTAAGTCTAATGGATGAAGTACAGAATACTAGGAAAGGGATTGTCCACCAATGATGAAGCTTATGGGTCACATACAACAACTAGATAAGGAAGGAGCAATCTACATATGTTATTCTTTTAGCATTTTTTTCACTAATTACGGAGTATAAGATAAAGAGGATAATATTTTGTGCCTTCCTTGTCTAGTTGTAAATAGGATACGCCAATGCAAGTAGATATGGAAATTTTCGCTTGAGAAACAAACAACTGAAAGATTATTAAACAAAAAACTATGAAATTATATTTCCCAAGCCAGCATATTTTCAAGGATAGATGAAGCATTCGACTGGCATAATATTGGTGAAACGTTGTAATTAGTATTATATTAGATAGATTGTATTAGAATACTTGGTTAAACAAAACAAAATTTTAGATAACGTTAATGTATCTACAATAAAAGACTGAAAGTATTCACTTCCCAATATCATCTTAGGGGGTGTTTGGAACTGATTCTGCTTCTATTTTTAAGTGAGAATCAGAATCAGAATTTTCTGCTGTATGAAAAAGTGATTATGTCTGAAGTGTTTGGTATTGATTCTGCTCTATGTAATAGAGAATCAGTTTTGAGTGTTTGGATAAGCTACTTTTCCAAACTGATTTTTGTGTAAATTTACCAAAAAGACACTATTGCTGCTGTGAAAATTCCATACACATGGAATTGAATGTCGTTCCCAGTTTTGCTAGGCTTAAGTGAAAATCATATGCTTATTAGTTATTACTAAACCAAAGAAATTATTTGCAAAAAAAAAAAAAAGATGAAAGACCAACACAATAATTCGAATTGAGAGTATACCTTGAAATTATTACTAAATCAGTTAAGGTCTTTGTATTGGACTTGAGAAAATCAACAAACTCACAAGTTGAGAGTATACCTTGAAATTGAAGCCGAGAGATGAAGGTTGGAGAAACCGTCGCTGGAGAAGCCAAGCCCCGACCCAAAGGGTTGCGTCGCCTGGAGACAATTGTCGGAGAAGCTCTCGCAGGAGAACCCCAAGCGCCGGCCTAAAGGGTTTGTCGCACAGAGCCACAAAGCCGATGGAGAAGAGAAGCTCTGGAGGGTAGAGAATGCCTAAAACGAAGGATATTTTAGGAATCGGAAGCTGATTTTCAGAAGCTGGTAGTATACAGGCTTCTACCAAACTGATTCTACACCTATTTTAATAGAAGTTTTTTAATCAGATCCAAACATTTTCCAAACTGATTCTGCTTCAAAGCGCTCCTTGGGGCAGCAGAATCAGCTTCTAAAATCAGATCCAAACATCCTCTTAATACAAATGGATGTTTAGACTAATTGACCGACACATGTGTACACATACAATCTAAATGGATGACACAGAGTGATACATATACGTGTATACATAGACCTATAAAGTATAAACACAACAAATAGTGGAATATACCTTCTCAAGGTAAACACAATTTTTTAAGAAGACCAAAGGTGATGCAAAGTTGACGCCTTATACCTTCACCAAGCAAGGATCTTGTAACCTAGAAAAAACAAAACCCAATAAAACAAAGATAAGCCGCCAGTATAACAAAATCCCAAAAAGAACATTTTACGAGTCTTCAATTAAAGAAAAACTAATAGGATTTTTGTTAGGGCTCGAATTGAATCCAAAATAAAATTTTGAGGTCACCCAGGTCAATTAATTGGAAATAACAAAAAATAAATAAATAACAACTAATTACCAGAATAATACAGTATAGTAAAGCGTACGTGAGACCTTAGTTGATATTTTTTTTGCAAGGACCTTAGTTGATATTTGAAGACCGTAAACATACGAAGTAACACTAAAACCCACCAAAATTACTAGAAGGAGTATAATGGATGAGGATGAGATCTGGGTTCGGAGACGTTGTCAATGAAAACGAAGGTTAGAGTAGAATATACCGGGTTACGAACGTATCCCAGGGAGAAACTGCAGGAGAAAAAAAGGATGTGGCGCTGACTAATGGATTGGCGTAGGGTTATTGGTCCTCTCTCGAGCCCTAATCTATTTCTCTGCTCACCCTTGATAGCTGTCTCGCTAAAGTTACCTCCCTGTTATGAATTTTATTACTCCGTATAAATGGTTGTTTTCATACTTTCTTGGTCATATTTTTGGTCCCCGTCTTTTGTTTTTCCCAGATTTGGTACACAACTATGAAATATTTCCTAGTTTTGGTCCTCCAGTTGATTTTCCGACCAACTGCACACATGTGCGTGTCATGTGCTAATTAATGGGGGGTCAAAAGAGTCATTTTATTGCCAAATTCACAACTCTTAATCTCCTGCTCTTGGATTAGGTCGAGTAGTCATCTTCTACTTTCATCCTCCGCTTTTAATATTCTATAGCAGATGAATATTCCAGAGTAAGTTTAAAGAATTGACTGCAAAATGGTGGATTTAGCCGCCATTGGAAGCGGCAGCGCACAAGCTTCACACCAAAGTAAGTCCTTAGCTTCTACTATACACTATCACCTAGTATTCGGAGAGACAAGGCACTCTCGAATTTGCCTCATCTCTATCGTTACTTTCAGTTTCTTCAATTTCAGTTTTAATATTCATTAGCTATTTACACACGTGTTGCACAATTTGGAAAGTGCCCAATGCATTTTTTGTTAGGATATATGTGTATTGTATCTTGAGTAAATTCAATTACTTTTAAAAGTTTACTTGTTGACATTTATAGGTACCAAAAAATATAGTTCTTGGAATGAAATACAAAAAAGAAAAAAAAAACATGCAAATTCGAGGAAGGGTTGTTGGACCTATTTTTTTTCAATTCACACCCAAAAAACTTTATAAGATTGAAATAGATATAGTACATGCTCAAGTATTGCTAGTTCTTTTGAGAAATTTCCTTAAGGAAAAAACTTTTAATGAGATAATCTGCTAACATAGTGAAATGAATAGCTAACATAAGAAATCTCACCCACGTTCAAAGCACAACCGAAAAGAGAATAGTTAAGCAACAACGAGCAACCTACACAAGTAAAAATAATGAGATAATCTGCTAACATAGGGAAATCAATATATTTATGTATCCAATATAATAATAATATTTTCACAAGTAGTATAATATAAATTAAATTAGCATAACATCGAATGACCAAGTTGACATGTACAACCAGTCAATCACAAATAATACCAAGACAAACATCACATTTTTTTTCAGGATCCAAATATACTAAAAATGAACATACAAAAGTAATATTCCAAGTTAATTGAACAAGTATTTATTTTTAATGAAGCAAAGCCATAACCTCCCATAATGTGCAACCTAGTGCAAAGATGTAAAATGTTGAAGCTTTGTGGTCTAAGTAGTGAACTGTTACTTTGGCAGTTAGCCAACTCTATCAATGTGGACTTCATGGAGATGAACACTTGTTCATTTCAGAACAAGGCACAAACAAGATATGGTATACATGTTAGTTTTTTTGTTCAAACTGGAGATTGCAAACATTTTACCTCATTTATTATATGCCCCTCACAACTTCTCATAGTTGGAGCAGATTGTACAAAGTAGAGATTTTATAATTTTGGTTGAGTTTGGATTTTGAGAATCCCTTCCAAAAATGCTTCTCAGACCAAAATATGAGTATATAAGACAAAATTAGTCTACTTTCTGTACGATAAGAGTCTCAGTAATGGTTAAAAGGGATAATGCTTTTCATAACCTTTTATGGAGCTAGTCATCAACATTAATTATCATTATTCCTATTTCAAGAATGTCATATGTTTAGTTTGATCCATTTTTAAATACGGCGTAGAAGATTTTACTCCTGGAGATATCCTATAAATAGAAGTAGAAACAACAAAAATGCTGCCACAATAGCAAAAATATCACCTTCATGCCTAGTATACATTTAAAATCAATTTAATTTACTTGCAAAAGTACTACTATTAACTCCCTTGAAAGAGGGCAAACATCTAATTTTGGTATTCACTTTCAATTAAAGTAATGGAAACAAAACCAACAGTAGTTAGAACTACTAACTATCCAAATGAGAAAAGCGGCCTAAAAAGTTTACATCTGAACTGAGCAGGTGCATACAAATAAACATACTCAATTAGGACGGTGTGTCAAATTTTAAATAAAAAGGAAGCACAATGTGTAATAGTTAACATAGAACACCCATATTTACTTCATGTGTTCATAAACAGTTATGCTGTTAAAGTACCATAGCTAAACAGGTAATTAAGCAAGTCACTTGAATCATTTTTTTTGTTCAATATTA